ATACAAAGACATATATACACAAAATATACAAAGGGGATAAATAGAATAAATAGGAATAAAAATAAAAATAAAAATACAAGTGAATTGCACATTTCAAGTATGGAATGGAGTGCGTCCATAATGTCGTAGTTAGCATGTTCACTTAGCAAGTTCAAGCCCAGCTGACACAAAACCTTTAGGCTTTAGTCAGCAAAGACATATGTGTGTTTAGTGTCACATGTCAGATAAAACATGCTGAGCTGCTCACTCTGCTGTGAGTAGCTTTAATACAGAAAATGACATGCACTGAGCTAGCAGCTCTTACTACTGTATATCAAGGGTAAAGTCGTAGCATGCTGCTAACATAGATGCTTTCGGTCAACAGCCAAACACATTTTATGTAACTTGACATCTCCTTAACTGTAGCTGACTGAAGCTGTTCTCCTGCTAGCTTTACCTGCTGAACACTTTAAAGCTCACATGTCTGAGGGTTTCTTCTCTGACAGCTAATCTTTGCTCTGCAGGTGAAGTGCATAAAAAAACTTGTTGGAGGATCACATCATGGAAAGAGAAGATGCTGATGGAAACACTGAGGTTGAACAGGTTGAAGCACAGACTATCCTGATTGTTGCTGCTGTTGCTTTTGTCATTGCTGTTGCTGCAGCTGTTGGTTTGTTAGTGTTGCTTCTTAAGAGAAATAAGAAGCAGCATCGAACATCCTACTGAGGAAGAATCAGTCCTGCTGATTACAAACAACATCCGTAATTATTTAAATATATTTAATTTAAAGTGAAAATGATAAGATCACAAACTGTTTGTTTATTAGATGACAATTTGTAACCATTAAAACGATTAAACACTGTCCTCACATATCTATCATAAAAATTCCCTCATAACTACATTTATAATTATTAATACTAGTTAAATATATACACCTAGAGAACAAATCTTGCTTATTGAAGCTAATCTGTGCATTCAAAGCAGTGGTAAGAAACTTTGCGTGCACACATTTGCATGTATGGAAATGACACATGGATATTTGTGCTTGCAGGTGCACTGCAAGCATTTTATCTACTGCATATACATGGACACATCAGAATTACTAACATAACTGAAATGTATGTGTTTAGACTTTGAACCATCTGGAGTACCAAGAAAATCCATGCAAAAAGGCCACAGGCAAGATTTGAACCGGGAACTTTCTTGTTGTGAGGCGACACTGCTAATCACATAAATTATAATAATAAAAATTATAATAACAACTGGAATAACAACAACAAAAAAAAATCCCAATGGCACATTGTGAAGCTCAGGAATTCCAGAGGGTGTGGGCAACCAAAATGAATGCTCTGTCCATGAAAGTATGGAGGTTGGGGAGGGAGAGAGACCGACCATGGCAATCGAGACTGTGTGTGTGGGTGCAGCAGGTTAGACAGGTACTGTGGGACCAGGCCATTGATGGATTTGTAAGTGGGGAAAAAAAAACTTGTAGTGTGTAACTTTAGTGGATGCCGATGGAAATGTGAGGGTGGGGGTGATGTGTTGTTAAGACTGTTGTTAAAATGTCAGAAAAGGTCAAATTTGACCCAAACTGAAAGTAAAGGGTTGAGGAAAGATTAAACGCTGACACTTCAGTAACTACGTTTATCAAGTACACCACACTGAAG